GCTTCTTTTACTCCTCTCTCAAACCAACGTTCCTCTCTATCAAGAATTAGAACATCCTTATCTCTGAAAGAGTGACCGCTGGCCTGTAAATGAGTGAAAACTGCAGAGTTCTGGCCATTGGACGTAGCTCACATTACGGCAAAGGCTGGTTCACCCCAAAGATCCGGTGCCCCGGCACAAACAGAGCAATGTTGTATATGCTGTTAAGTGCCAGGAGGACTGCGACCAGTTATACATCGGGGAAACAAAGCAGCCACTGTTCAAAAGAATGTCCCAACACAGACGAGCTACATCTAATGGCCAGAACTCTGCAGTTTTCACTCATTTACAGGCCAGCGGTCACTCTTTCAGAGATAAGGATGTTCTCATTCTTGATAGAGAGGAACGTTGGTTTAAGAGAGGAGTAAAAGAAGCCATTTTTGTGAAGAAAGACCGTCCATCATTAAACAGAGGTGGAGGCCTCCGTTTTCAGTTGTCCCCCTCCTACAGCGCAGCCATTGCCAGTATCACTCCACCCCCTGTTAACAATAAGTGTTAATTAGGTGTCAACGATAGCCATGTGATGTGAGTGTCAGTCACACGGAGGCAGGGCTTAAAAGCCTGAATTTTGCCTGAAACTCTCAGACTGAAGAAGTCTCTTGGATGAGAGATGAAACGTTTCATTAGAGAAGAACCCGTCCAGAAGACCTACACAAAGTCTAAACAAAAACAACTCTGAGATGTAAACTGGATAACCAGAAGCTGGATTGCAATACTGGTTAACAAGTAATTTGTTATTATTATTTTGTAGCATTTTATAACTACTCCTTATGTAGCCTTAGTTATTACTAAATAGTGAATTAACTTTGAAAACATTAAGTTATTTTATTTGATATTGAAGCAACTAGAGTCCAATGAACAGCTTGAAAGTTTACACAGGTAAGTGCTGAACTGCAAGAGGTTTTTTTAATGTATAAGGTTACCCAAAACTGAAAGCCAAGGTGTCGGTGAGTCCAGTTTCCTTCACCATCCAATACACTCAAAAGCTGGTGGAAACTCTGAGGAGGAGATGTGGCTGATCCAACCCTGGATCCAGCAAGACAAGCCCAGATCATCACACTTCTTCCTCCATGTTTAACAGTTGCCAAACACTGAAAAACTGTACAAAAGTCCTGCATGATGAACTGCAGATTTCAAATTTGAATTCTTCAGTCAACACAGACATCTTCTTCCAGTCTTCACAGGTCCTCTGGTGGTGTTTCGTGGTCCAGGCAAGCCTCTTTTTTCTTTTTCTGAGCTCTTAAAGATGACTTTCTTGCTGTGACTCGACCTGCCAACATGCAGCTCCAAGTCTCCTCTTCACAGTTTAAACAGACTTGCCTTCTGTGACCACTATTAAAGCTCTGCTTGAAGCTGAGGGCCTGTGAGCCACCTATCACACATGCTGTGGACTGTGAGAAACTTGTCACCTCCTCCTGTCAGTTTCCACAGCATTTACATACATCCCACACAGTATAAAGAATAGTTAGGTATTAAACACGAGTCTATGAGTATAGTGAGTTGACTACATTTAGCAAATATTAGAACCAGATTCAGGTGCCAGATATTAGTTTAAAAAAAATTAAAATAAAATAAAATGCACCTCATCTATGATAGTAATGAAAAGCAAATGTCAAGAGCTTGGTATGTATCAAAAATTCTACTGTTTTTGTGTCTGGCAGATACTCTTCAGTGGTGACTCGTCGGAGAGCTTTGTGTGCGGTCTTGTTATGTTGGGTGGGGTCGGTTCTGTCGTCCTTTGCCCAGTTTATAGGCACAGATGTCCTCCACACCTGGAGAAGTGGTAAGACCGATCCAGGCACAGATGGCCATTGGCTGGATGGCAACTGGACAACCTCTTTACCTCATCTTACCCCAACACCACCCCCAAAGTACCATCAAGACCGCAAGGTCATTGCGAAGTACCTTCCGTATGGTGGCTTCTTGTCAAAGTTTTATGTGGAGGACATAAGGAACTTCACCTACGCTGAGCTTCACAGCAGCCACTGGGGGTTGTGTGCACCAGACACTATTCTCAGCCCTCAATTCATAGTTTATGTTCATGGAATTACAGTTTTCCTCCTGCCTTTGGTTTTCTTAATGGCCATTTACTTTGACCTGTTATGCACAAAGTTAAAAAAGACTCTTATTAATCATATAGTGACACAAAAACATGAGTCCCAGCTGGTCCATTTTGTAGCCCTGTCCATCTGTCTTTTAGTTCTGCTTTGCCTGCCATTTTATGTTGTTGAGGCTCTTTTGCTTTTCACCCCCGATACTCACCTACCCGCTTGGGCCTGCGCAGTTGCTTTCTTCCTTTTTCAGGTGTACAGTCTTGTGCCTCAGATCCTCTTCACCCCTCCTAGGAAACAAATGGGRAAGGAGCAGAGATCCTTCTCTCTTGCCGTCTCCAACCTTACAGCAACTGTAGCCCGGGCCAAAGGAAAATCTGTCCGCATGGCACTGCGTGAGGTAGCTCCGTGGTCTTCAGCCAAACGCTCTCTTAAAGCCAAAGTTTGCCCAGAGGTCTAAATTGTTTTTTTTATAAAGTGAAATWTCTAATGTCTATTCTAACATCTATTTACGCGTTTGTAATAGCTACAACTTGTTGACCAATTAATTATAGAACCATTGCTGTTTTGTTTTTAGATTTCTATCTAATCTGCAACACCATGCCTACACACATCTTGCTTGCAAATGAAAAGGCCAGTTAATTATTAGGTCCCACACCAAATGTCAGTGAGAAAATTAAGTCTCTAGATAACGAGCGATATCCTGATCACAGATGTCTGCTTTCTTTGACTGTCTCCTCTGGGTCTTTTTTGAGCTTTTGAGCTGAACTGCTACCCACCCATCAGTAATATACATATATGTGTGTGTGGCAGTGTTTAATTAAACATTTATTAATAACACAGTGGTCAAGCTAAAACTTATAGCTAGTTAATGATTAACCTGGTTATTATGACACAATACTCATCTGTTTTGATTTTGCATGTGACTACAATGTGATGCTTTGTTAAAATAAAAAGAAGAGTCTTGCTCACCATAATTGGATTGTTCATCTTGTGCCATGCTGATGTTCAGAAGTCACTGATGGAAAAAAAGGATAAATTTCTTTCTGCATACAACATGGACATGAAAGTCAACACGTCTTTTTTTCCCCTTCTTACTGTTTGTCACAATTATTGATTGCTTTTTCTCTCGAATGTTGAAATTGTCAGCTTTTATAATTACCTAATTATTTTCAGCCATGTGTAGCCTACTGCTTGTGTCCATAATGAAATGATTTTCTTCCTTGGCAAGCCTGTTCCTACTATTTCCCTTCTATGCAGCAAAAAATATATACACATAAAGGGCATGGGTTCATTCTCTGTAAAAACCTCCTTACTGATGGAACATGCTGGTAAAGCTAGATAGGAAAAAAAACCTTCTTTTGCTTTTGTCGAGCAGTTGTCCATTCGGTTATTCTGTCTGCCTGAAAGCACTCAGCTTACTCTTTATGCAAGATCAAGACACACTTGCCACCTCAATCAATGCCCCATGTTACACCATCACTGTGCACACACACATTTCTGACAAGACTAAATAACAGAAGCTATGTTCAGGTTGGTTTTAAAGATAGATTAAAATGTTTACTCCACCATGCTAGAGCCAACAACAAAAAAAGTTTGAGTTTGGATAGAGTTTAGAGATATTTACTGCAACTCAAAAATGAAATATGATGTAATAAATGGTGTATAACTGGGAAAATGTTAGATGCAAACCAATTTCAATTATTTTCATTCAATTATTTGGTGAAACTCACATCAAAAAGAAAAAAAAAGCACTTGTTTTTATAGTTGAGTTATAATATAATGACTTGGCATAAATTCTAAAAAGATTATCATTGTCACCTGGCTTTTCCCGACACMGTTTTCTTGTCTCATTTTTTAGTGTTTATTCATTTGACAGCCACTTAAAGGTGTTGTCAAATTGTTATTGGGACAAGTAATTCATAGCATCATTATTATGCTCTTACCTTTATTGAAAAGGAAAAACATTGGGGAAAGAAAAAGTACGTACAAGAACCAGAAGTAAAGCTGAGTTCAAAGTGAAATTTGCATGGCTGCAGGTGTGTTCCTGTAAAGGCCAACTTATCTCTCCAGTAAAATAATAACAATAATAATAATAAAAATAAAAACTAAATGCAAAGCTACAAATCAAACTAAAAATGTCTTTTTTAAGATGACATAATAAAGAAACAACCAAAGACAGAAAAGCGAGTGCTCTCAACCCCATAACACAAAAAAGYCTTTGACGACCTTCAATCGAAGGACATGTGTTTCTGTTTTGAAGACATTCAAAGGAACAATATTCTCAGTTTTATTGCTCATTGACCACAGTGAGTCTGATAGCRGGAGCTACGAGAGCCACCTCTGCGTCATCATAAACTGAAGATATGTCTAGTTTCGACTGAATTGTTTGCTGTCAGGAGTGTCAACTCATGCTGGTGGTGCTTTGGTGAGTCCATTACTTTGATTGCCGTTTGACAATCTGTCTTTATGACAGGCGACTGCAGAGCTTCACCATCGATGGAAGAGAAACACATCGATCCATCACCTTGTGACCTCCAGCGGCTTTCAAATCTAGCCTTGCACACAGATAGACATGTTGAGTGCTCCTCGACAGAATCGGGTATTGATTGTGTGGAAGTTAATGGCAGAGTCATATTTTTCTGTGTGCATATGACTTAACCCTCCTGTCACCCTTTCTTCCCTGCTATCTGTTTGTGTGATTCATTAAACCAACCTCCGAATGCTCCGTTTTGTTTGTTTTGCATGAGCTGCCAGTTTCAGCTGGCTCCATCACCTTTATCGTCCCACCTATAATTCTACCATTCCCCATTGATCTAATCACATGCTTCATCATCTGTTTACTTAGAAAAGATCACAAACAGTACATGCTGATTACACAGAACACACATAAAAAAAAAACCAGTCCGATAAGGTTATTTTCGGATTCTTTTTTTTATTTTGTCGTGCTTTGTATCTTTCCCCTATAAAGAAATAGTTAGCTATATATCAACAGTGACACATGGACTCTAAAATAAACAAGAGTGTAAGACAGGAGAAGAGACAACTAGGCACAGGAGACAAAGAGAGAAATACTGGCAAAGAGAGCAAAGGTAAGAGGAAACGAGTGAAAATTAACAGTATATTTTTTTCTATAGTAAAACCAAAAACAAACCATGGGAAGTGTACATTTCTTTAACATTTACAATTATAATAACAACGGCAATAATAATAACAGTAACAACAATCAGAATTGTTCAAATCATAACAATAATTATTAAAAAACAATAAAACCTGTGGTTTCTCATAAAGACAAATGATTTTTTTATCCTTTTTTCGTTTTCTTTAAAGATCACTGGACAGTAGTTTGTTCGGCTCTTCACCTCTATAGGCTAATATTCTGTGTTAGTATAGTTGCTTCGTAATGCTTTTCAATAGTAAACAGTTTTCTTATTTCTTAAAAGTTTAATTTAATTTATGTCACTGGTCTTTTATACAAAGAATTCAGAGATATGTATATTTGTTCTGTCGACATGTTTCCTGCATGTGTGAATGTGTGCATGAAGCTGCATATGAATGATGGCGTTCAGAATAAAAACATCTTTTTGTTTTGTTCGTTCATTTGCTCCTCCTATTCTTGTACGGGACTTTTAAACCTTTTAATCCTCTTAATGACATTCTAAAATGATTAAGCTTCTTTTTTAATGTCTTAGCAAGTCATATTCCTTTCTTCTTTCTCAGAAACACATCCCAACGCTAATCCTTTTATTATTAGGGGCCAACATAAGGAGTGAAGATAGAGGAGGAACTGGGAGAAAGACTAATTGAAGGCGTGTGTGGGGCGGAACAGGTGTAGAAAGCGGATGGAGGATGTTGACGGCGTTTTAGAAGAACAGAGCCATATTTTTCTTTACTTATGTAACAAAATGGAAAAAAAAATCACTTAAAGCAATTTTTTCTTTCAAACTGAATGGTAGACTACCCAACGCAGAGAGCAATAGAAAAAAGTTAGCTTGTTCTTAAAGTATAGATATTTCCTTCCATTCTGGTTTTGCAAACTGTTGGAAATTATATACAAGTTGAGTTCTGTAGACAATATGTTTTGGCAATTAGAAAAATGTAAGCGTTTTACCATTGAACGCTAAATAGTTCCTGTCCAGCTTTCTCCCTCTTAGTCCCGCCTCCCTCCTCACACAGCACTCCTACTGTCTCCTTCAGTTAAAGATTGAACTACGTGAAATGGATTCTTCTATTCTCCAGGCGGGGAATTATAGCAGTCATCTGCCTCTAATTCCCCTTCCACTTTGGTGGCTGCACAGGCGGAGTGCCGCTTTTCATTGTGTTGCCCTCTTCCCTCCTCGATCAAAATAATTATGGCATCATTTTGCTTTTGTCTACATTCACTTCACTCTGTCGCTGCTCTTTCACACCGCCTTTACTTCCCCCCAGTGTTTTCGACTTACAGTACTGTATATGGCACAGTCGTTAATGTCTGCGGGGCCTTAAGGCGCTCTGTCTCTCAGTCTCTCTTGAGTTGTGTGAGTGTGTATAGAGGACATGGAGTGGAATGGCGTGTGGTGGACTGGCTGTGTGCAGTATCGGTATACAGTCGCTTTCAGAAGGCCGCCTATTGTGGCGCATTGTGTAGAAGTGTTTGTGTGTGTGTATGTATACTGTATACAAGGTGGGAGGTGGGAAGGAAGGGGTAGGGGTACGAGGTCAGAAGAGAAGGGATTAGGGAAAGAGAAGGGCTACAGTAGGTACTCCTTCTTGCCCTGGCTGGCGTCATTCCCATTGAGAAAGGCCTCCTGCACCTCGCCATGTTCATCCAACCCGCTGGCCTCGTGGGTAAGATAGGAACCTGGATGAAAAGAGCGAGAAACAGAGCAGAGAACAGAGAGAGAGAGAGAGAGAGAGGGAGAAAGAGGGGAGAGAGACAAGAGGGAGATTGTAGGGGGAAGGTTAGGTGGCAAAGCGTCATGACCATTGCAGCGCCATGCAGCATTGTCACAGCAATCAGCGCTAATATTATAGTCTTCCATACCTATGACTGATTAATCCATTAGTTAACTGACTGTTAGGTCAATACCAGGCAAGAATAGGCTCTCGTGTACGGTATGAGCCTACAGGGCAGAAAATTAGAGGTGGCAGATGGATGCATGAATAGAAAAGTCATAAGAGATGAAGGTAATAGAAAAAGGAGAATTGAAGAGAGTAAGAGACGGGGAGGGAAGAGACATTGGCAGAAAAGAATGGGAGTAATGTTAGGCGCAAGTGCACAACTGCAAGATTGCATCACCCTGAAAACCAGTCAAACTTGCCATAACAACCCTGGGGCCCATATCGTAAAGAGTCCTGTGTGGTATATTTTATATAAAACAAGAACTGCTTGAGTCATCTTCCTGCCAGAGAAATCCTTTTCAGCCTAGGAGTGAGTGACACTCTCATTCTTCTTACCTCAGAGGTTGAATGACTTGTTGACAGTCGCGATGGACCAAAAACAAAGCCCTAATGACCCTGTCTCAACATTGATTGGTCGTAATGGTGCTGTCTGTGTGCTGATTGGCAGTGAAGCTGCGCCGAATGTTGACAGACAGCTTGTCCAGCCAAAGGGTGACTTATCCTGGCTACTGCGTGCTACTTTATTCCCAGACCATTTATTGGCAGCTGCAGCATGTCGTGCAAYGCTGCCAGTAAGGAGGGCACTTAAAAGGATGGGAAACAGGGGGAGGATTCTTTTGAGTCTTGATACACTAACATATAGTCATAAAACACTGGGACCACAGCTACCTTTTTCCACCCCACCCTCTCTCTTCAATTACCCTGGCCAAGATCATTTATTACAGACAGTGCCTTGCCAGAGAGGAGCATCCTATCGAACCCTGCTTGTGCTGACAATTTAACACCTTAGTTTAAAATATTAGTTCCAAAGAATCTAGATGTAACTGGCAATAAATGACTTTTCTTGTGCAAACTATGTAAAAAAAAAAAAGAATTAAAAACTGTACTTGTGGCAAAAGTGATAATGACAAGTAAACTATTCATTTTTGTAATTTTAYTTTTGAAAGACATTTCGTGTTTTTTCTTTTTTTGTTTTTGGTCTGAAGATTTAAGTGTACATGTGTCCATTACCTTTCTGCCGGACAGAGCACCAGATGGTGACGATGAGGACACAGATGACGGTGAAAACCAGAAGTGCCAGAACGCCACCTATCACTGCGTACGGTACTGCGCTGTGAGTCTCTACCACTGCACCAGGATCTGCGGGAAAAATAAAAAAATAAAAAAATTAAAAACAAGCAAGACAAAAATTGTGCATCAGTGAGGTATGAAAATAGAACAATAAAAAAATGCATGCAAGAAATTGAGACAAAAGAACAGATTAATCAAAAAATGAAAGAGGGAGCGATAAAGAGAAGACAAAGAAAGGACACTGAAGCACCAGCRTGGGAGAGAACACTGGAAGATGTGAGAAAAGAGAATTCGATTTCTTCCACCTAACTTGTATTATCACCTTTCATCACCCCCAACTGAATAGTATGCCAGACAGTCAGAATGGGTGAGAAAAGGGTGGAGAAATGAGAATGAATAAAGAAATAAAGAAAGAAACTCTATCCAAGCACCTGACATGAGCACAATGCATTTTGAATGAAGAAAAACTTGGTTTTGTTTTGCGGAGTAAACTTCAGAAACACACGAACGCATCCACACACACACACACACACACACACACACACACACAC